GCTTGCTGTGTTGTTGTCGTCATCATCATCATCATCATCATCATCATTATCATCAACAAAACAAAAACAACAACGACGATAACAACAACAACAATACTACTACTACTAATAAAATAATAATAATTCTCTAGTGGGCGACTATATGTGGTTTCTTCAGTCTTCTGTATCTGCTGTATTCAGATTATTTTTCTGAACATCAGCAGAGTAATCTTCCCCCCACCCAAGGGCTAATGGGGCTTCCTGGGGCTTCTACACTCCCACTCTGGCAAGATGCCGTGGTCTTGCCCAGTGTGGCTCAGGGAGACGGGGGGAGGGGAGCATGCGCTAGAAGGCTGTTTTCTCAGAATCACCCCCTCCCGTGGCACATCTGGGCAGGAAGCGGAGCAGCGCCAGGCAGGGGGAAGGAGAAGCACAGAGAGGATGAGGCAACAGCAGTAGCCTCACCAGGTGACCTGAGAAGAGCGGTGGGAGAGAGAGCTAAAAGCAGAAGCCCCGGTGGTGCCAAACCCCTGAGGGAGAAGACTTCCGGGCAAGGAGGGGGCATAGGCGCTTTGGAGAAGACTTCCGGGCAGGGAGAGGGCTCCCCTTCTGGTTGCATAGGCGCTTTGGGGGGGGCAGGCGGCACCCAGCCCCTACGAGGTGGAGAGGAAGCCCCACGCTTGCCAAGTAGGTGTCGCCACTGCTGCTCCCACTCCTTAACCTTTCACATTAAGGCATTGGCCACAAACTATCATCCCATCCGGGCAGGGAGAGGGCTCCCCTTCTGGTTGCATAGGCGCTTTGGGGGGGGCAGGCGGCACCCAGCCCCTACGAGGTGGAGAGGAAGCCCCACGCTTGCCAAGTAGGTGTCGCCACTGCTGCTCCCACTCCTTAACCTTTCACATTAAGGCATTGGCCACAAACTATCATCCCAAGTAGGTGCCGCCACTGCTGCTCCCGCTCCTTAACCTTTCACATTAAGGCATCGGCCACAAACTATCATCCCGCGGTCCGCAGTTGGCACCCGGGCTGCATGTGTGAGACCCCTGGCTTAGTCAAAGCTCATAAGATGTTCATTATTTGAATTTAATATCCCATCCTTCAATTCACCAGAATTCCCAAGTTTCAGAGTGGCTTAAAACATCTTCACCTGCCTAGTTTGGAGTTTGGTTCAGGGTGAAAAGCCATCAGATGTTCTATTCATGTGCAGACATGTTAAGCTGCAGCATGTGTGTATCTGTCCGCCCGCAGGGTGGAACACATAATTTTTGGGTTGAGGTCCAGGGTTGGTGCAACTCCCTGCTTGGAAAAACCCATGACAGCCTGTTCCTTCCAGCAATCTCTCAGTGGCAGCATTGTGAATGATTACAAGTAGTAACAGAAAAAGAGCTAAACCAGCAGGATTGAATCAGTTTTTATGAGTGTTATTGTCATTTTATTGTCTTAAAAGCCTGGAATTTCCATTTAGAATGAAAGGTGGGATATAAATTGAATGACTAAATAATGCAAACTGAGCAATTAGAACTTCACAAGATATCAAATATATACCAAATGCTCATTATGGCTAAATGACTACAAAACACCCCAGGTATTGTTCTCAGAAGAAAGGCAAAAAGTGGGAAAGATTTAATTGAGATATAATGTTTTAATATTCCCTTTTTCATTCTGAGCAACTTACGCCTGCGTTTCAAGTATACAAAAGTCAATGTGGCCACTATGACTGGATATTTCCAGTAAAGGATACAATCATTTATAGGCTATCAGTCCAATTCACAGCTTTGCCTTTGAACAAGTCTGCACTTCAGTTCTTACCAGAAATACAAGACCCAATAAACTACTCTTTGAGTGGCTCAGTCGTTTATCCAAGTGAAGGCAAATAGCATGTGGCTGCTGATGGAGCCATCATATGAAGGAACTTTACTGACCTTCACATTGCATGAAGTCCATCGGAGATATGCTCCACCACAGCTGCCTCCACCACCAACTGTTAGCAGCCCATTTTTAAATCACAGACTCTTTTCCATAATGACCCTTTCCATCTTTCCCAAAGAGTCCTCCCACTTTGCCCACAAATGTCCACTTAGCTAGCTGTATGCTTTTTTGAAAACATTCTTGTATGCTGATCCAAGAAGGTCCATAGATCTAAAACTGCTGATATAGGGGAGGACCAGCTTTCAGCTTAGCTTGGATTTATGGATCTGCTTGAATGTCATATCTGCAATTTCTGATTTTGTGCCATCCCTTTCAATTCTGTTATAACTTACTCCATTGCAGTGAGTGGCGAGCTGCTTTTAAGCTTGAACTCTGAAAGAAGACACTAGTACATCTTACTCAGTCCCCACTTAGGCAGCCAAATTTCTTAGGAAGGAACCCAAATGAAATTCATGTCAGAGTAAAAATACATGCCTCTAGGAGAAGAGTTGAAATAAATAAGCTTCTGGCAGAATGTGGAATTCTGTTTTCACATGTTTTCCTTTCAGATAAACAACAGCAGTCCGGTTCCCACCATCTCCATATCACAAATGAAAACTTACCTTCTACTTTCTGAGAGTCTCCCTCAGGTTATGTTCTGGTTATTCCACAATATGCCTCAGGTGCAGTATAGACATGCAATTCCCCCCCTCAAAAGTGTGTAAAGCTGACACAAACCACACAGTTGCTCTGACTAACTTCTACAGGGTATGCTTCCGTTCCTTAGAAGTGTGAGGAAAGCAGGGGTACACACAGGTTTGGCCCCACCATTGTGAAGTGATTGCCTCAGGCAGAAGAATGTGAATGCCATGGAACTACTTCAAATAGTTGTGTGGGTTTTTATTATTATTATTACTATACATTTCCTGTCAGGAATAGGGAGAAGTACCTCTAACATTTTCTGTCTCTTGAGTCAAAATAACTTGATTGGCTCTGGGTACTAAGTACTATCACCTGGATAAGCAAAGGAGAAAATTTTCTGCTTTGTCTCAGGCAATTTTTTTTTTGGATCAACCCCTGCCTCCATCACATATATTATATTCCAAAATGTCTGAACTAAGACAAGAGTCCCATATGCATGTGTCCAGTACACAGAAGTGAGCATTAATTAAATTTCAAATTTAACAGTGTTAAATCCTGAAGTGCAGGATTCATGGGGAAAATAAAGTTTCACCTCTCGCTTCCTCTTTGTGGAGAAAGGGCAGTGTCTTTGGGAAAAAATGTTGGAAAATTCACACTGCATCTCCATTTGTTACCTACTCCCTATGTGGAAGTCAATTGTATCTAAACTGTCACACAGACTTCATGTAAAAGATATAAAAGGGAAGTTACTGCCCTTGCCTTCAGCACAATAGCAGCACTCAGCAGAATTAGAGCACATTACAAATTCATTAATAACAGGGCTTGCTGAAGTCAAGAAGCTAGATGCATTAAAGAAATATAATTAGCTCTAAAAGCATAATAGCCTAAAAGTCATCAATAGGCTCCTTGGCCTTCCATATGCAAACAAATGTATTGTTTTCTTAAAGAGCTATTTAAGAGGCTATTGGATCTACAAATGATACCATTAGTTGGGGTGTCTGCAAGATGCCAAACCAAAACACAAGTGCAAGAACAGCCAAAAAAAAAAGTTATTTATTGTTCTCTGGTTATTTAGGAAAAGGCTGGCTTGCATACAAAGCACTACATTAAAAGCACTTCGGGAGCTGCAAAAAGGAGGGTGGGGAGAACTGAGAAATCACAACGTTTTGAATGTTTCTGCAAATTTAATTAAAGATGTCAATGAGCAAAGGCATCCATTCTCTGGTCCCAGCTGTGGAAAAACACAACTCTGCTACAGCCCAGGGATAAAGCATGTGTTGCCCCTTTTGGCTTCTAACTCTGGAGATCTCCTGGTTCCTACACAGTCACCTGTCTGTCAGTCAAGATGACCGTATTCACATCACAACAGATCTTATGTTATCTCCTGGGTGTTTTCTGTAGTATTCTTTCTCTCCATTTCCTTTTTTCGGTCCAGTGCAAAGAAGCATTTACTTCTTTCTTTTAAAATGTCCTTGTACACCAGTTTCTTCTAGCGTTGTCTTAGTTGTCTACTTATTCACTTAGCTTCACTTGCTTTGGCTTTAAACATGTTTTTGATTTCATTTCCCAATGTACCCACACACACTTCAGTGAGGACAAGTGTTGCAATGTTATCTAGAAAACATACAGGGTTTTGTTTTGTTTTTCATGGCAAAGGGAAAGATGACCTTGGGCCAAACTAGATGAAAAGGGGAATATTTTTAAACATGTTTTCTCTCCCACAATGAGATTTCATTAGGAGATACATGGTTCAACAATCAGCCTCCAAATTAAGGCCATGTGTACCTTCTAGTGACCAAATTAAAAAACAAAGCACGCAAATTAAACTGTCTAGCCCTTAAAATTCAACCTAATTCCAGAACAGATAGGCTTTAGACCTAGCAAGAGCTGTATGGCTCAAATCTTAAAACTAACCCAGCATAGAGAAGATGGCTTTGAAACAAATAAAGTAACTGGAACAACATTTGTAGACCTTACAGCAGGATATGATACTGTCCATCATCAACTGCTGCTCAAAAAGACCTAGCTCTTTACTATAAATCATGAATTAACAGAAATTGTTGCCATTCTACTTCAAAATATGATTGAATAAATGATTTTTTCCCCATAAATATCAACACTGGTTCTTTTCAGTCGTTTAAAAGAAGGGGTTCATACCACAGTGAAGCTCACTGTCATAATTCTCTTCCACCCTTCAAACATGTTTATTTTATACAAACAGAACATCTGAAAAGCTATATATTATTTTTTCTAAAGTTGATGGCCATCAACATAGCCTGTGCTAGTGAAATCTGAACTCTAATTATGCATTGTGTCACCAATTACAGTACATTCAAAGAAGTTCGGAACAGAAATTCTCACTAGGAATGAGTATCAAAATTCAGATTTGGAATTCAGACTTATTCAGAATTATAGCCTTTAGATGCAAAATTCAGAATTTCTGGATACCCAAGACTCTATTACAGTCAACATGCTTAACCAAGATAGGGGTAGGAGGCTGCACCACATAATGGTTGAAGAGAAGCATAATTTCTCCCTTTCCAGTAGATCTCTAACAGGTCACCACATTAAAATACATTCTTCAGTTGCTCTCTGAAGTAAGCATTTGGCAGTAATAGATAAACATTGTGTATTAACAATGTAATACTTAGTGAATAACGAAGCAAGAAAGCAAACAGAACACCTCCATTAAATTCAAGCTGTATGCCACACATTTTCAAATGTTATTCCAACACATACCTAATACAGTATGTCCTTTAGGCTTCTTCGAATTATTGTTGTTTTTTTTTAAACACACACACACAAACAGACCAAAACATTTCTGATGACTGTAATTATAGTGAACTAACCTTTGTAATGCATTAAAACCCAATGATCCAAGGCTTAATAAGAAATAAATAGAAGTATACAGAACTGAATATCCCAGTGCCATACATTTAATAGTCTCAGCATGCTCTTAATGACCCTTAGCAGCTATTCTGCTAAACCTTCCCCCTTTTTCTGTCTTTATTTGCCAAACTGATAGGGAGAGCAGCATATTAACATGCTTTGAAGATGTGTTGAAAACATGTTGCACATAGCATGTTTATCTGAAAATAAGACAGGGTCTTATATTAATTTTTGCTCCAAAAACACGTTAGGGCTTATTTTCAGGGGAAATAGAGTGGTCTTAATCGACTAGATAGGCGGGATATAAATAAAATAAAATAAAATAAAATAAAATAAAATAAAATAAAATCAATCAATCAATCAATCAATCAATCAATCAATCAATCAATCAATAAATAAATAAATAAATGTTTTATTTTACAGTCATGTCATCTTCTGGTTGCTGCACAATGCTACACAATGGTGGAGGGTGGGGTTTCACTTAACTAGGGCTTATTGGGGGGATAGGGCTTATATCATGAGCATCCTGAAAATCCATACTAGGGCTTATTTTCAGGTTATGTCTTATTTCGGGGAAACAGGGTATCTTATTATGAGTAGCATTAACCACAATAAAACTTTAGCTGTCTGCCACTTGCTCCAGCAAAACAATTAAATCATGGCCCCCAACATCTTGGCTACAAACAGACAAATTTCCAGCTGCCATAGTACTGAGGTCTCTTTATAGAGCACTTACTGTTGGTACCTATCCCTTTTTATCTCTACCTTTATCCACACAGTTAGGAACATGTCTTTCCAAACTTTGAACTGCACTCATTTTCTTTAATGGGGAAATCCTGCGACCTTTAGTTCTTTGGCAAGGCAGCTTTGTTTCTCAATGCTACCACCAACCACTGAAACCCAATTCCCTGAGTAACTATGAAACACTTATCTACTGTATGTTTGTAGCATATATGTCCTGTGGTGAGGTGGCATGTCCCAAAACATTCCTGAGGAGAGTAGCTGCCAGACTGTGCTCCTAGTTTCCTATGAGAATGGGAATAGGCTGGCATTGGGAGAAAATCACATAATGATATACTAAAAATCCTTATTAAGACAGCTAGGTTATCATAGAACATCACTAACAGAGAGAAGAAAGGGAGTCAGTTATCTGAGAGATACTTCTGAAGAGGGGAAGCCTCGTTATGTATCAAATATCACCAAACTCAACACCTGCTTTTATAACATCCCGAAACACAGAACAATAATCTCAGACTTTCAATGCAACATGTACAATATATCTTGAACCACTGACCCCTGTTTATTGGTATACCTATATAGGCTCTAGACTAGCTAACCTTGTGACTAACGTCTTCCCAAAATGAAGATATTCCTTCTTTTCCTTTCATAAGGTCTGGAAGCACTGAAACTATCTGGATTTGCATTTTAAGGAAAAATTTAAAAACAAATACAAAAGAAAGGGGTAACTGTTTGAGAGGAGGTCACTGCTCCCAAGCAGCCTATCTAATCTCTCCAGTTGTGTCTGAAAGGCCCACCAGATGTGAAGGCCACTGAACCTCAGGCAGGCCCTGGGACCAGTTGGCCTGCCCATGGGATCAGGACCAGGAGCAACACCTGGGGAATGAGTTGGAAGCTGGACTCTGCAGGCAACTGGGGGCCATAAAGCTCAAAGTGACAGAGAGGGAAGGGAAGACCAAGATGGGGTCCAAGGAAGCAGAGTTGCCGTAACCTTCTGTTCTGGAGCCCATATTATATGGATTGAGGAGGGGTTTCTTGCTACCCTGGCTCTTGAAAAGAGTGGCGATGCACTGTGACTTTGAGGACACCAAGAAAAGGTAGATGCAAAAGAATAAGTGAGACTCTTCCCTGGTGTAGCTGGAAAAAGGTTACTTTATATAATTCATTTGTGCTTGTCTTTGACCTGTGCTCTCTTGGTATATGCTCTGAAGGACCCTGTAGATCATGTTTAAATAGATTAATGTGGTAGTGAAAGACAAGACAGAACAAGGGCCGTCTGATAAATAATCAGGATTTAGCATTCCAATCTCATGCGGCCCTTCAGCTAAATTCAAAGGTCCTAGGCAAATGATCAGTTCAGGCCACTGTAAGAGCCGTGTTTCCTCTTCCCAGCCTGCAACATGGGGAAGAAGAAAGAGAGGAAAGGAAAAAGGGTGAGCTTGCCAGCTTTGGGCTCTGATTCC